CACACCTTTCCCTTATGTTGCGGCATTTTGGCTTTTCCCCCTTTGGTAGTGGTGGTGGGGATGGCTGAGTCACACCCAGCAATGCTCAGGGGCTCCCTCCACCTCTTTGTTTGGGGGTGGTTTCTGGTAGTGCCTGGGGGGATCATGTGGAGACTGGGATGGAACTGGACAGTCACATCATATGCAAGGCAAGTGCCATAACCTCTGTGCCATCATCCCAGTCCTTCTCATCACAAAAGGCTAAACTTACTTTACTATAGTTTGTCACATAAGGTGCAATGTACAGATATTAAGTGTGATTGGATGAGTTTTGACAAGTTCTTGTAGCTTTGTAACCACTGCCCCCCGCAAAAAATAGAACATTTCCCATCCCCCCAGGAAGCTCCCTCATTACGCGTTCCAATCCAGCACACCCTCCAGAGGCAAGCACTGTCTCGGCTTCGAGCCCTTTGGGTTTTTGGCTCGTTCTTGACTTTCTACACAGATGGAGCCAAACAGAATGCACACGTTTGTGTTTGCTTCCTTTGCTTTGCACAGCGTTTGAGCTTCCTCCATGCCATTGGTGGATCGGTGGTTTATTCTTTGTGGTCACCAGGTTGTTTCCTATTGTACGGATAAACTGTGTTTTGTTTATTCATTTAAGTTGTCTATGACAGAGCGTTTAAGAAAATTAGCTGTTATATATGTGTATATATACATTATATACATATATGTAATGCAAGAGAAAAGGGCACGTCTTTATGTCTTCATTCTCTTGGGTAGATACCTAAGTGTGAAATTGCTGGGTCATAGAGCAGATGCCTTTTTGGGTTTGTCTTTGATTTTGGATCCCATGCATCTATGCTCAGAGCTTACTCCTGGCTTTGTGTTCAGGGGTCATTTCTGGTGGGGTTTGGAAACAGTATGTGGTATCGGGGTTCAAACCCTGCTTGGCCACATGCAAGACAAGCACCTCGCCTGCTTTAGTGTCTTACCAGCCCCAGTAGATGCTTTTTAAAATTTTTAAAAAAATTTTATTTTCATAAAGTTATTCACCATAATTGTTTGCATTCAACATTTCAACACCAATCCTATGACCATTACACCTTCCCACCACCATTATTTCGAATTTTCCCACCATCACCAAAGCCTGCCCCATAGGCGGATGCCAATTAATTTATTTTATATTGCTTTTTATGAATAGTATGAGATGTTATGAGGTCTCAAAAACAGCCACACACTCCTGGAATTCTAAAATTTTTAATTATTTGGGGTCTGGAGGCATCTCTGTGGCATGCTGTTCTCTTTCGAGATTCATTTGTGAGTCTCTGAATCATGACCATTAATACACTTAAATGGCACCCAGAGGCAGTTCTTGGGCGTTACTTCCAGGAAACCAAAGGGGGAAGTAGGGGGAGGTCATACATCCTTGACTCTGTGAATCCTGAAGTTTTCAGTCACTAGTCCCGCATACCTGGGCTTTCATCTCGGTTAATGCATGTGGGGCTCAGGACAAACCTTTGAAGGTCAGCCATGAGCTTGGTGGTGATTGGGTTCTGGAGGTTTGTGGCTGCCAGGATTCATTTGGGGCAGGCTGAGGGACTCACTTATCCCCTCTAAGAAGCCTTGGTGAAATCAGTCTGACACGGGGTGGGGAGACAAGTAAATGCTTTTTTAACTTTATAAAACTGTTGAAGAATTTCCAAAGTGATTATACTGTATGAACATTTTGGCTGCTTCTTTTCCACTTGTCAACCTTTGCCGTAGTCAATCCTTTTTATTGTAACTGGTCCTTTGGGTTTGTTGCTTGTATTGTTTTGTAATTTCAACTTTCAGTAATAGATAATTAATGATATTGATGATATTGAGTGTCTTATAATTTTATTTATTTATACACTGGCTTGAGGCCACCCCTTAACATGCTCAGGGGACCGCATAGTACCAGAATAGAACCTAAACTTCTGCATGCAAAGCACGTGCTGAGCCCATGGAGCCAGCTCTCCAGAACTTGAGTGCCCTTTAATGTGTGTTTTGGTTATTTGACTGTTAAAGCATTTGTCTAGTTTTGATTGAATTGTTTGTACTTTAATTATTAAGAATCTTTATATATTCTGAACTGAAGTACTTGGATAGCTGTATCAATTTTATTTTTTAATAAACAAGTTCCAAAATCCAACACAACATCTCGGCGGTAAAGAAACAAAGAGCACCTGGCCCAGACAAGGTCAGACCTGAACACCTGAAGAATCTGCCATTGGTACTCATCAATACATTGGTTCGGCTCTTCACACACTACCTGTCTGAATGCAAGGTTCCGTCCCAGTGGAAAACCAGCAGGACCATACTACTATACAGGAAGGGAGACATCCATGACATTGGCAACTATCGCCCAATCTGCCTATTGTCTGTCATCTACAAGCTGTTCACTCGAGTCACCCTAAATAGGATTGGCACAACACTAGATGAAGGACAACCATGCGAGCAAGCCGGGTTCCGCAAAGGATTCAGCACCATCGACCATATCCACACGATAACAAAGCTCATTGAGGTTTCTCGGGAGTTCAAGATGCTGCTCTGTCTAACGTTCATTGATTTAAAGAAGGCCTTTGATTCTGTTGAGACAGAAGCGGTCATCGAAGCCCTAGCCAATCAGGGCATTAAAACTCAATACATCAGAATCCTTCGTGAGCTGTATTAGTGATTCACTACCAGGATCTCACCATTCTACAAAGAAGTAATCATCCATGTCAAGAGAGGTGTTTGGCAGGGTGATACTATTTCACCGAAACTCTTTAATGCCACCCTTGAGAACGTCACGCGACAACTGGAATGGGAAGGAATGGGAATGAAGATAGATGGTCGGCAACTACACTACCTCCGCTTTGCTGATGACATCGTTCTAATAACACCAAACATCAGCCAAGTGGCACAAATGCTGACCTACTTCGACCGTGAAAGGTCGGATTACAACTGAATCTCACAAAGACAATGTTCATGAGAAACACTCTTGTTCCTGATGTTCCATTCACTCTCAATGAAACGACCATCTCCGAATGCAACAGTTATGTATACCTAGGTCGAGAAGTCAACATGATGAATGACCTGACACCTGAGTTGTGCAGGAGGAAGAGAGCCGCTTGGAATGCCTTCAAGAGCGTTGAAGAAATAACTAAGAGGACAAAGAACCTCCAGCTCCAAGCACATCTCTTCAATTCCACTGTTCTTCCTGCATTAACATATGCCTCAGAGACCTGGGCCCTACGAAAACAGGATGAAAACGCTATTCGGGTCTCTCAAAGAGGAATCGAAAGAGCTGTGCTTGGAATATCATGTTTCACTCAAATGAGAGATAGAATCCGGAGTTCTGATCTCCGTCAACGCTCAAGAATCAGGGATGCTGTCTCATTTGCTAAGGCATCAAAAATCAGATGGGTTGGACATGTAATGAGATTTAGAGATGACCGCTGGACTAGAGCCATTACTGACTGGATTCCATGGGATGTCAAAAGATCGCCTGGATGCCCACCTACAAGATGGTCAGACTTCTTCGTCAAGACCCTGAATGATCGGTTTGAGGCGCTTCATGTTCCTAGAATGAAGATGCCATTGGGCTATGCTAGCACGTAACAGGGATGAATGGAGACATTACTGGCACCCGCTCAAGGAAATTGATGAGTAATGGGGTATCAAGAGATCAAGTGATCAATAAACAAGTTGATTTATTGGGTCCAGATTTTATAGCAGATGAAGTATTTCTTTGCATGTGGCAAATCCAGGTTCAATCTCTGGCACCACATATGGTCCCCTGAGCACTTCTAAGAGTGATCCTTGAGCACAGAGGAAAGAATAAGCGTTGAGAACAGCTAGTTGTGGCCCCCCAACAAAACAAAACAAATCCCAGGATGGTTGATTCATCATTGATTAACAGTGACACAGATTTTCAGAGATTTTTTTCTGTTTGTTTCGGGGCCACAGTTGATGGTGCTCAGGGTTTCTTTTCTTTTTAAATTTTTTAAAAATTGAATATCCATGAGACAAACCATTACAAAACTGTTCATGTTTGGGTTTCAGTCATACAATTATCCAACACCCATCCCTCTACCAGTGTACATTTCTCACCACCAATGTACTCGTTTCCCTCCCACCATTCCCCAGCCCTTTCCCCCACCCCACAACCAGCCTCCACGGCAGACACTTTACTTCTTTCTCTCTCTCCTTTTGTGTATTATAGTTGCAATACAAGTCCTAAGAGGTCCTGGTGTTTGTGCAGGGTGTTCAGTATTTTTGTTGGGAAGGTAAGACTGGAATAGAGTTTTTAACTGAGTGGCAGCTTTGATGTGGATGTGACTGCCAAGGCTTTCAGAAGTACAGGGAGGTGGGGGCAGGTAGCCCATCTTGACCTTGAGAAAGCCTGGGGATTTCAGTCACAAAACCCACATCCCTGAATTTTCAGCAGATTATATCTCAGTGTGGTCCATTCTGAGATGGTGGAGTCCAGCGAGGAGCATGGCAGTGATTTTGGATTGTGGGAGCAAGTGGCTGCTGGGGGCTCTGCTTGGGTGGGCACCAGGCTGACCCCTCCCCTCCGATTTACCCTGGTCTGTTCAGTCTTGCGTGGGTCCAAGATTAACTGCAGTTTTTCATCTCTTTAGAGATTTATTTATGGGTCTCTGAAGCAAGGCCAATAAATGAGCTTACACAGCTGAGTTGGAGGCAGTTTGTGTGTGTGATTCCCACATACCTAACTTTTGGTCGTTCAATTTCTCAGGAAACTTGCTCACAAGTTGTTGAGGTCTGGCCAGAGACATAGTGGCAATTTTGGGGTCTTAGGAAGCCTGAAGGCACTGTCAGGTTGCTGATGCACTCAGGGCTTATTCTTGACTCTGTGCTCTGGAATTCCTTGGGGAACTGTATGGGTCAGGGATCAAACCCAAGCTTCCTTCATGCATGGCAAGTGTCCTACCTGCTGTACTACCACCCCAACCTCTCATTGTGATCTTTTTATTCTTCTTTTACTCATTATTTAGAGTCACTTTTAATAATGATATGCCATAAAACCCCTAAAATACTATAAAAATAATCTCAAAGGAAAATTTTCTTTTTGCATGGTGTCTGGCTGTGTGAAACATTGAAAAAAAAACATAGTATTCAGCCACGTTTGTGTTCTTCTTAATCATATTTTTTGGCGAACAAAAATTTTAGAGTTGATGAAGTCCAATTTGTCCTTTTAAAAACTTTTTGATTAGTGAACTTCGTGTGTTAAGGAATTTTTGCCAAGTTCAAAGTCAGAAATATGTTCTCTTATGTTTTCTTCTTGATGCTTATGTGTTGTAAATTTTGGTCTGTAATCAGACTGTAATTATTACTACTTCTTAGTACGGAAATGGTTATGGTTGAAGTTCAGGGTTGTCCTATAAGGGTGTCCAGTTGTTCCAGTCTGTTGTTGAAGTGACTTTCCTTTCTTTACATTGAATTGACTTGATTGAAAATCAGTGGATGATATCTGTATGGATCTCCTCTGGGCTCTCAACTCTTCCTCCCATCTATGGAAGATGTGCATTAGTCTTAAATTCTAGGACACAGGATACTCCATAGCCATGCCATCATACCATATGCCAGGCTGTTTCATTTAGGGCAACCTAGAGAAGAGAGGGGAGGCCCCCTCCAGCCCCGGCAACTGAAAACCTCCAGTACTCAACTGCTGCCCTGCTCACGGCCACTCTCCAGATGCTCAGACGAGCCTCACCCATGAGTGAATCTGTTCCTGGACATCTTGGACTTTACGCCACCAATATACCAGAGTAGCACACCACATTTGATTGGGTTTAAAGTAGAAGGCAACCAATCTTAGGGGGAAATACATTTATACATATATATGTGTATATATGTGTACATATATAATACACACACATAAGCACACAAGGCTCAACCTTTAACATGTTACTAATCTCTTATAGAAAGGCTTAATGACTCCTGGGTGAAATACAACAGCCTTCCCACACTTTCCACTAAGAAACCTTTTTTTGTCTCATTTTTAGTGGATTATTCATAATAAGCAATGCAAAATAAATTATTTTGGTTCTGCTTTGGGGGCAGGGTTTGGGGTTTGGGATGGAAATATGGTGGTGGGGAGGTATAATGGTGGTGGAATTGGTGGTCAAATATTAAATGTAATCAAATATTGTTATAACAATTTTAAAAATTCAAGTACACATCTTAAAATGAACCAGTCTTAAATTCTCTGCTTCTCTTACAAGATTGTTTTGATTATTCTACCCATTTGCTTTCTCACATATATTCCTTAGAAGAGACTGTTGTTGTTTTGGTTGTGATTATATTGAATATAGCTATTTATTTGGAGGAGGAATAACATTTCAAAAATATTGCCTGAGAGCCATGAGGATGTTATAGCTTTCTATTACTTTAAGACTTCTTTAATTATTTCAGCAGTGTTTAAAATTTTTCAGTGTGGAAGTTTTATGCGTATTCTGCTAACTTTATTTCTAATTTTAATATTTTGATGCTATTCTAAATATTTAAAAATTAACACTTTCTACTTAACAGCGCATTTTTATTTTATTTTATTTTATTTTGAAGGAAGGGGCCACACTTAAAATACTCAGGGCTTACTCCTGTCTCTGCACTCAGGAATTACTTCTGGTGGTGCTGGGGGACCATATGAGGTTCTGAGGATCAAATCTGTTTGGAAGCTTACAAGAAAGTGCCCTACCGACTGTACTATCTCTCTAGCCCCCAGCATTACATATTTGAGTGTGTATTCTTGCCAACATCACTTATTAGTTCTAATATATTTTCTGATAGACTTTAGGATTTTCTAAGTTCAAAATTGTCTTCTGTGGATTAAGACTCTACTTCTATTTTTATTATTATTATTTTTTTAATTTCATTTTCTCTCCTTATTACTCTGGCTCAGATCAGCACTACAATATTGAATGGAAATAGTGAGAGTGGCAGTTTTGCATTGATCCTGATCTTAAAAGGAAAGGTATTTATGAACTCACTATGAAAATGCTAGTTGTATGTCTGTCAGTTGTCTTGTTTTTTTTTGTTCTTTTTTTATGTAGGAGTATTGCTATTTATTCAGCCATTGATTAGGCTGATTGAATTGGGCATGAACTCCACCTTACTATTTTTTCTTTTTTATAAATTTATTTATTGAATAACTGTGAGAGCAGTTACAAAAATTTCAGGTTTAAGTCTCAGTCATACAACGATGAAACACCCATCCCTTCACAGTGCCCGTTTTTCACCACCATTTGATGAGGGATTTTTTAAATAGAATAATTATTTCGTTTTATTTCCAGGATTATATTAATCTCATACTATGAATTGGAATGTGTTTCTTCCTTCTTTATTTTCTGAAAGAATTTTGTATTATTTATTCACTAAATGAGATAATTCATAGTTAAAAACACCAAAGTTTTATTTGTGTGATTCAAAAGTTTATATTAAATTTCTATAAAGATATTCTGGGCCATAAATTTTATATTGCTTTTGTGTTAGTATTGACCATTTGTGTTAATTTCTTTCAAGAAATATGTTCATTTCTTCTAAGTTGTTTAATTCCTTCACTTAATCACTTAACTTCCCGTTAGTCATTGATTTGCTCGAGCGGGCGCTAGTAACGTCTCCATTTGTCCCTGTCACGTGCTAGTGTAGCCCAATGGCATCTGTTCGCTCTGGGAACATGAAGAGCCTCAAACTGATCGTTCATGATCTTGACGAAGAAGTCTGACCATCTGGTAGGTGGGCGGCCACGCGGTCTTTTGACATCCCGTGGAATCCAGTCGGTAACAGCTCTAGTCCAGCGGTCGTCTTTAAATCTCATTACGTGACCAGCCCATCTGATTTTTGACACCTTGGCAAACGAGATAGTGTCCCTGATTCTTGATCGTCGACAGATGTTGGAACTCCGGATTCTTTCTCTCATTTGAGTGAAACGTGATATTCCAAGCATAGCTCTTTCAATTCTTTGGGAGACCTGAATAGCATTCTCATCCTGTTTACGTAGTGCCCAGGTCTCTGAGGCATATGTTAATGCAGGAAGAACAGTGGAATCAAAGAGATGTGGCCGGAGCCAGAGGTTCTTCATCCTCTTAGTTATTTCTTCGACGTTCTTGAAGGCGTTCCAAGCCGATCTCTTCCTCCTGCGCAGCTTGGGTGCCAGGTCGTTTGTCATGTTGACCTCTCGACCTAGGTACACATAGCTGTTGCATTCGGAGATGGTCGTTCCGTTGAGAGCAAATGGGGCGTCAGGAACGAGGCTGTTTCTCATAAACATTGTCTTCGTAAGATTCAGCTGGAGTCCTACCTTTCCACACTCACGGTCAAAGTCGGCCAGCATTTGTGCTGCTTGGCTGATGTTTGGTGTTATTAAAACAATGTCATCAGCAAAGCGGAGGTGGTGTAGTTGCCAACCATCTATCTTCACTCCCATTCCTTCCCATTCCAGTCGTCGCACGATCTCGAGGGTGGCACTGAAGAGTTTCGGTGAAATGGTATCACCCTGCTGAACCCCTCTCTTGACATCAATTGTTGTGTATTCGATATGCCAAAACCAGTAACTACAACTGGTCTCATTCACCTCTGTTTAATTCCTTAGCATAACATTATTTTTAACATTCCCTAATATTCATTTTATTTTATTTTCCCTCTAATATTTATTTTAACGTCTGTGGAATCTGTAGTTATGTCTTGCTTTTTATTCTGAAATTGACAATTTTGGTCTATTTTCTTTTATTGATCAAAATCTAGTTGGGGAACATCAATTTTATTTATTTCTTTTAAGAGTCAGATTTTATTTTATTGGCTATTTTTGTTTTGTACTTTTATGCATTCCACTGTTATCTTTAATACTAATTCATTTACTTGGCTTTTTGGGGGCCACATCCAGCCGTGCTTAGGGGTTACTCATGACTCTGCACTCATGGATCACTCTGGCAATCTAGGGGGACCATATGTGGTGCCAGAGATTGAACTCAGGTTGGCCATGTGCAAGGCAAGTGCTCTACCTGTTGTACTACCTTTCTGGTCCCTTCGTGACATTTCTTTTTAATGAGTTCTCCAAAATTTAGAAAACAAGAGCTTAACTTATTTTAAATAATTATTCTTATATGTAAATATTTAAGGTTATAAAATTTTCAGTAAGCATCGTTTAAGCTTCATCCTACAATTTTTATGTTGTTTTTTCATTACGTTCAGTGCTTAGGCTCTTTCTTCGTTTAGGTCTATGCTCAATTCTCAGTTTCTTAGAGTCTTTCTCTATGTAAAATTATCTTTTTATCTCTTTACTATGATCTGTTTCACCTTACTTTTATAAAACAATAATTGATATTATAGTGCATTTTATAGATTACAAATACAAATATGTAAAATTATACAACATCATTTTGTGACTTATATTGTTTATTAAGGGCTGGAGCGATAGCACAGTGGTAGGGTGTTTGCCTTGCACACAGCCAACATGGTCGACCCGAGTTCGATTCCTCCGCCCCTCTCGGAGAGCCCAGCAAGCTACCGAGAGTATCTCGCCCACACGGCAGAGCCTGGCAAGCTCCCCGTGATGTATTCAATATGCCAAACACAGTAACAACAACAAAGTCTCCAATGGAGACGTTACTGGGCCCGCTCGAGCAAATCGATGAACAACGGGAGGACAATGACAATGACATTGTTTATTATATATTATTTTTCATAATTTTACTATTTTTATACTAAAGTTCTTGCAGGCAAGAACCATTTGTACTCTACTTATATATCCCTCTTTCAAAGAGCTCCATAAATATTTGTTGAGTCAAGAAATAAATAAGTGATTTTTAGATCCAGTATAAATATTTCCTTGGCAAATGTCTTATCTTACAGGCTTCTCTAATTCTCTGCTAACTTCACCTCAGTTGCTCAAACGTTATCACCAATTATGATAGTATCATTATGACTGTGTCTGTTGCCCCTTCTGTCCAGTTACCCAAGGTCAAGGACTATATAGTCCATTCTTCACTTTTATTCAATCAGTGCCCAAAACAGAACCTGACACTGAAGAGATTAGTAAGTGCTTGAAAATGAGCAAATAAATTGTCAGCAATCACCCCTGCCTTGTATGCCAGTTATGAACTACACTTGTCTGTTAGCCCAAAGGAC